GAGCCTTATTCCGTAGCTCAAAAGGACCTCACACCGTCCACTTTTGATTGGAAATCATCGGTTACCTCAACGGCGTAAAGATAGGCTTAGAACAACCACATAAAAAGTCTGAGTTCATGGCTTCCATTGGTTTTTGTTTCATCAGTATTGGGCTAACTGTTAGTGCCTGCAAGCCAAATTTCAACTATGAGAGATATTCAGGCATTTCCCAGCGTAAGACATTATTTTCTTCAATTATTTAACAAATAGCGATGTTTATAACGATAAAGTAATAATAATATCAATGTTAGAATCACAATAGCACTTATTAATTTTCACCGTAACTCGTCCGCAGGTTACTGCCGCGTTACTTCATTCAAGTGACATTCCACTCAAAAATATCCGACTCTCTGACCCTACGAAAAGCACATCAGCAGTGCGAACGAATGTGGACCATTTCTTTGAATTATTGGGACACTGAAAAAGGCAAGGCCGTTGAGTCATCAGCCGAAAAACTTGATAGCAACCTCATGTTAGCTTGTCAGTGAAGAAAGTAGATATTTGCTTCATGAGGTTTCCTCCATTTAAATGCATGTTAAATTAGAAATTGAAATTAAAACCTTATATAAAAAAGCATCGTTCACACTCTTTATTTGGATTGAATTATGCTGACTGAACACCATTTTATGATAATAGTATCCATTCATATTCGTCGCCATTTGTATTCACCGCTGTACGTGAACTAGAATTAGATTTACTCAGTGTTCTTGTCAGGTTTCGTTCACGACCTTAGTGGTGACGCAGTGACCATGTGTTGATGTTCTACACCGATTTGCTCTCAAAAACACCAACTGGCTACAATCAAAGCAGCAAGCCATTTAAAGGCTGCCCCAATGCTTTAAAAATTTTCAGAACATAGATGCCTTTTATTTCCTCATGACCATCGGTCGTGTCATGGGCTGTTCTTGGGAGCGAAGATGAAATATTTTTGAAGATCTCGATATAGACCCGTTTGATCTTGTGTGCTCTAGAAATGTGTCATTCTAGGACTCTTTGAGGGGTGCACGAAGCCCTCGTTAGTGAATTGCTTCGAATGCTACAAGTTCAGGAGATGACAGCTCAGTTTTATGGTCATCAATTAAGCAATACCTGCCCGAACTTGATAATGTTCCGCTCTCCCTCAGCATAATTCCAACAAACCTTCAAATCTTTAACTCCGACATTATCAGCACAATTCTAACTTGATCCGGCTCCGAGTTCACCTTCTCATACTTTCAGGGTCGAGAAATTGGTACCGGCTTGTTTTAGAAAAAATCGTCCTCTGCAATCCAACTGGAAACGCTCTAGCCCGGCTAACCCAAGACTGCAGTGAGAATCGACTCAACCAGCATTCAACAACATTCGAGATTAAACGAAAATCCTCAAGCAGCAGCCGAAGCCACACGTAAAAGCTTTGAAGGTCTTCGTGGACAGTGGATGCGTGGAAACGAATCGAATGTGAGAATTTCTAGCATCCGCACAGTAGATGTGAAAGACGAGTCGTATAAAGGGTAAAGGATAAAGCTCTCGGCGTTGATCAATCCCTGAGGGATGCACCATGCATTCGACTTAATTATGGATCGTTTGGTGGTGATTGAATGCATGTCTATCCCCTATAATGACTCGCGGTGGCCTACCGATGTATCGAGCCAGTGTTGCTATTCTCTCAGACAATCCTGGCACCAATTTGCCGACTCCAGAGGGAAGGAATTCTTGGTGGGCCATGGACACCCAGATCGATTACACGTGTGTGTTGCAGGGCGCCTCCGACCACTACGTCACTTCTTCCTATGTACTGTGAAAACTAAGGGGATGGATGGACCAGTTGTGCACAACAAAAATTCAAAAAAAAACTCTAACATTTGCATGGTTCATGCAATGGTCTCTTCCTATGTTCTCGATATGTGCAATAGAATAATCTAAGTGAACAGGTGGGAAGGGAGCTGATGGATTTTAGGTCGGTGAAATGAGTTATGAAAAGGAATATTCTACAATAAAACTTTTGTTACCAGCTCCACAGCATAGTAGAATGTAATGGCGATCCGCTTATCGTTTAGCAGGTCTGATAGTAAAATGGGGGGTCTTACCACCGCCTATTTAGACAAGTTCCAACTCTATTTTCAGCCCATACTTTTATAAGCCCTCCTGTAAGGAACTTTTGCAAACGACATTTGCGAGTCGATGTTCAACAAAGCTTTCGCTTTATTTGATGAGGAGGTTTCGCCTATACGATTAATAAGGCTTCTGCCGTTTAATTAGCTGGTTGGCTTTATCACTCTTGTTCCCTGGTTGGCATTTGGGTGGAGCTAACCCCTAGATAGTGCTGAAATTCGCAAAGAAGATCTCATCTGGAAGTTGCATCAATGGGGTGTCGTTGACTTTTACTACACCTCATACACTGAAGCCCTAACGAAAGCCCGTGATTGAGCCGCCTCACACTAGTTATCTCATCAGTATACTTCGCTAACGAGAACGTTCGGTGATGTCTGATGCTGAAGTATTATTGGTTGAACGACTTGTTTTTGCACGTAGAGTGGAGTTACAAGGTTATTTTCAAGTCGTCAGCGCAAGCTGTTGCATTCGCTTGTCGATTGAATGCGTATGCTTATGTGTAGTGCGCTTACGTATTTAACACATGTGTTCAGTCATCGAAAGCTAATAACTGTTCCCTCTCATATTAAGCAAAAAAAAATTTTACTCTTATACTTATACATAAGGTAGTTATTACCACGATCCCCTAAACATGTGGACATGTACAATCTGAAACGTCTTCACCAAAACCATTCAGCTATAGAGATTTACCACTATTGGATAGTTTGCCTTCGGTGATAAGTACGGAAACAGGGATTTAACCGGAAGAGTGCGGAAGAAGAGAGCGAACGAACGACGAGAGAGGAGAGATGGGAGAAGATATGGGATGGACAATGGAACACTGTGGGCGAATGAATGGGCTGTGCGGATCTTGTAAGCCAGTCCTCTGCTAGCCGATAAAGACCATCACCCTTTCACTGTTAGCCCTTTCTACAACTATTTGCTTCCACCGTTCATTACACTCTGCACCACGAGAAATAGCCAAATTTCTTAGAAGCGGGCCAGAGTTGCGGTATAATAGTAGCTATGACCGGCTCTACCGGTGCTGCCCTCACGATTGTACCGCTATTGCTAGCTCTACACGCTTGTTCAAAAGCTCAGCAACTCATCGATTTGAATTTATCAGCTGCATCGGGTAAGTACTTTTTTGTTACCAAACGTAGCTTTTAAATTTCGTTCAAATCAAAGTTTCTGGTCTAGATACTATTTTTTGCCATTAACAATCATTTTCGAGTGATTGATACGAATTTACTTGTGAACTGCTAGTTGGTTGTGTCATAGTTTTTTCCACGCTTCTGAAAATAATGGAGCGAATGGCCAAATGAAGTTATTGTTGTCAAGTCACACCATAGTTGATGAGGTTTCCTTCGAGTAGTTTCGTTCTGACATTGAATATTCCTCGTCCCTTCATGAGTTTTTGTGACAAATATGGCTGTCCACATCTTTGTGTTTCACGAATAGAACCGTTCGAATGTGACTGTCTGTGCGTATGCAAATTTTGCATTTTCTACGGAAGGACTGTAAAACAGGTTAGGCAATTGATTCAGCTGGGTCGGCGCAATAACATCCGCGATAGCCACAAAGACAAGCTGTCATCTGGCCAGCCGAGGAACATTCATCGCGTTCAGTTGCTAAGGCTTCTTCTAATCGCAAAGAATATGCAGATCATTAATATACTTCAACATTGCCAGTTCTATAGAAATTATATCTGCAGTGAGAATTAGAGTTAAACTATGTTTGATTTTTTTTCCATTTTTTTTTCTTTTTTGGAAACTTTACAAACATATTTTTGTCCTCGTTTACATTTGAGTCCCCTAATGCAGATCAACATGAAATCAGTAATTAGCTGCTGTTTTTTTTAACATAAGAATTCCACATTTCTTTAGTAGGTTCATAAACAAACAACGATCTATTTATAGTCATTGCAATATTAAAAACTCGTGCATTTGAGTTCCACGCAGATACTTTACAAGTTTCCCTAACCATCACCGTGACTTTTTAATCGCAGACAGATTTTATTTTGTTTTTCATTTTATTTTATATGACCCCTCTTCACATGCACTACGTCGATTCTAGCACTCCTTGTATTCGATTCGTTTTCCACACATCCATCATCTGCAACGATCTCTGAACTTTTGCACGTGGGTTGGACTGCTGCTTGAGATCCTTCGCTTTCTTTATGAATGCCGTTGAACGTTGGTCGAGTCGATTCTCCTTAGAGTCCTGATATAGTTGGGGTAGAGCGTTCCCACTTTGGATGCAGAGAGTGAACCTTTTCTTAGAGTAGTCCAATAATAATTTCTCGACCATGAAGATGGCTTGCTGGGCCTGGGGAGGGGTCAAACTAGCACCACGCTCGTGAGGATCGACATCATCACTTCTGCTCTATCCACCCTCTACCCACAAGCAGGTTATATTTTAAAATTCGAAAAAAGTGGTGAAAATGGAACGAAGAAAAATGAGTTGATTTTGCTTTGAAACAAAATAGGGTTGCTTGCAATGTAAATTCTTCGATTACCAACGTGTTTAGAGCAGTAGTTAGTGGTGCTCTTTCACACATGCTTGATAATTTGTTTGATGCCACACCAGCGCAGACCTAACCTTTTCTACGGGTTCTGCAGAATTGTATTAAATACATGTGGGAGAATAAAAACATGAGCTTGTTATACTTCTTGAATCCCACAAATTTTGGCATGGGCCGAATATACATTCAACCATCTCTATGATGTTCAGTAAAGTTGAATATGTGACACATCCCTCAGGGATTGTATAACGCTGAACGCTTTATCATCTATCCTTTAATTCATATCGATTCACTGATTGAATGCAGCATTGAATGCTTCTAAGTTAGTACAGAAACTACCGTACCTAAGTTTTGAAAGAGTGAGGTAATGTTTCTTATAACGTTAGTGGATAATTTTTCAGAAATTGAATTACAACGGTTACTGAGTTATTTGACCTTACAAATGTTAGAAGTCGAAAAAGCGATTGGATCAGCAAGAATGAAACGAGCATCGCCAATATCGGCATCGCTTCCGAATCGGTATAGTTAGTGATTTCTGTTTTCTGCAGTTCCCCAGCTGCCTGAACTCATCAAAAATTCAACAAAATAATCTTTTGAGAAAGACATGGATTGACAATCGATTATTCGCTTTCTTTTAAGAGATTCTGCATATTTCCTGAAGAGGATTGGAGCATTGAAGAAATCGCTGCTGAGTCAAAATGGCACAAAAACAAGCGAGTCAATGGACTCCACACCAAGATCCAAATATGAAAGCGAAAATGAAAGCGAAATCGTCCTGGTGAGACAGAACGTTTCAGATCAGATTTTTTAAAAATAAAAGCTCATCATTTGCTGCTAAGGATTAGTATATGGAATAATGCAAGCGTACAAAAAGTACGATTATTTAGCAAACTCTTCATCTTAATGAAAGTGTCCAAAACTGCAAACGATTGACGCAGCCAGAACTTGTCTCCGAACTCAAGCAAAGAGGCACTTACAATCCAGAGTTGATGGCATGGGATGCGCTAGGAGTGATTCGGTTTCTTGATCGAACTATTCACGATCACTACCAAGTTTGTTGAAGTGTTTCTTTTACAAGATTACCCTTGCTTTGTAAAAATAGTTGGCAGAAATTTTCCTGAAATTTTCTGTGGTTCACTGTAATGTGAAAAGTAAGCAGCATCTTCAGCACATAAATGTTGGTAGCAGACACTATATTAATATGATTGTTTGTACTATTCGAACGGTTCATCACGTAATGGGAATATTGCTTTCATAGCGACAACCTCCTCGGAATCGCCAGCGTGAGGAAGTTGTTTCGCGCAACGTCGAAGCTTTGGCGAGTCTTTTAAGGGAACTCAACGTAACCTGCGATGTTCGCTCGCCATTCGTTCTACAGAAATTACACAACACCATTTTGTACGTTGGAGTTTACATCATAGTCTTTAAATAGCCACGTATCTGCCGAAATTTTAGAAAGAGGTTTATGGTGAGTTTTCCTTTAATCGATTTCACCATATTACGGGGCAAGAACATGTTAAGAAAAATCACGTTTCTTAAAATATTGTCTCGGTGTTGGTGGAAGTTCTACCATAGGGGTATTTTTCTTGGCAACTGAATTTTTTCAAACCAGCAAGCCTCTTTGTATTTTTGCCAGACTTTTAGGTTTTGTTATCTAAGTTTCTTCGCTCAAGGCCAAACTAAGGCTTTGAACACATAGTCGACGCTTCTCTGTATTTGAAACATGACAAATTTGTTGAGATTGCGTTGGAGCCTTTCGATAAGGGTTATGGGCATATTTTTTTGGATGAATGACATTCTATCCTTTTTTAACACCGTGAAGTGTTGGAAATAGCAGAGCTTAGTTTTTCAACATAATTGTCGTTCCTATCTCATGGTTTAGTGATTTGGGTGCTAAGTGCGAACATTCTAAAAATTTTTTCAACTTCACTCGAAAATCTTTGGAGCTTACTATCATGATGAGCGGCCCAAGTGAGCCCAAGTGATAAGCTTTGCTATGCTTACTCATAAATTCGTATAATAGGATGTCTAACTATCAACTTTGACATGCCTTACTCAGTTTTTCACTTGGGCCGCTCATCATGATTCCACTTCAATTAGCGCTCTTCCATCACTATGAGATAGTAAGTCAAAAAAGCTTCATAAGATCACCAGCATATTATCTGAGCAGTGGAAATATTTAGCTCCAGCATGCTTCGTGCAAAACTTGGTCGCTTTCCGCCGTTCAGTGCAAAGCTTGAGTAATTACGTGTGCTTATATAAATACTATAGTACAAAAATAACGAAGCAACGAAGGAAACTTTCTGCAGCGGTTACTTCAAAGGTAAAGGGCAACTGAAGTACCTCTATGATAGAGGGCGATGAGTATTTGCAGTTGATCGAGTTCATCACATGCTACTGCTTTTTTAATGCTTAAGTATAGGATTGTAAATCCTTTTAAATGCAGATGGAGATTTTTACATAATACCTAGAATAGTTAGCGTTGCAAAGCTTTTTCGCACTGGAGTTTTTACATGGGCACAATTATTGTCATAAATAAGACATCAGGAACCATTTTTCATATCGTCACGTGGCAAATACATGGTACAGCTGTTATTGGAGCACTTTCCAACTTGTACAATGAGGATACATGGAGAGATGGTGGCACAGAATAGTCTCTTTATATTGTGCTTTTTAGTGCTGAGCCACGTCGGACCATTCTATCGCCATCTCTTCGTCGCTCGAAAAGAATGGACGAAGTGGACGAAATTCTTCGACTCTTGAACAATACGGTTGATTGGCCAGCACGAGACAAGGATCAACCGCTCATTCTCGAAGACGAAATTTTAGCACCTCGGCAGAAATTAATAGGTTCGGAATGCGTGGTATTTCATATGGATATCTAAATAGTTTTCCAAATGAATGCGTGTGGCGCAGTTGTTAGAGGTGCCTTGCAGTAAACAGGTGTTTCTTCGTTCGATGCCGCGCACCAAGCTAACCAAGCTTATCTATCCTTCTGCGGAAAGTAAATTGGCACGAAACTAGTGTGAGAGATGAAAGCAATGGGTTTGAATGTGTCGTTTTCTTGTTCAGCAATCGCGAGGTTTTTAAACAGCATACATTTACTTCCATAGAGAAACACAATACAATACAACACTAGCTGACGTTTCGGCAGTATCGCCTTCTTCAGAGCCTGGAAGGGTATACTGATATACAATCTACTAGGCCAAACGCTTCAATAACACTTATAAAAAAACGAAAAAACTCTGTGGTAATTAAATGATCAACAGCTTCTCAAAAAACTCACCGCTTTTTTCGTGACTTCCAATGAGGAAGTTTAGAACAGCTGATTATAGTCACATATGGTTGATGACTGCACCATCCCACATCAGAAATTGATGCGAACATACTGGGTTAGGTCGCGTATGACCTCTGGGCATTCATTCCTGCTATTCATTGTAGGGTTTTTGGCATTTATCCAAAAAGCCTCAAAAAGTTTTCGCGCTAGTGTTTTAGTCTATGGTGCAGTCATCAACCATATGCGACTATAATCAGCTGTTTTAAACTTCCTCATTGGCAGTCACGAAAAAACCGGTGAGCTGTTTGAGAAGCTGTTGATCATGTAATTACCATAGAGTTTTTTTCGTTTTTTTATAAGTGTTATCGAAGCGTTTGGCCTAGTAGATTGTATATCAGTATGCCCTTCCAGGCTCTGAAGAAGGCGATACTGCCGAAACATCAGCTAGTGTTGTATTGTATTGTGTTTTTCTATGGAAGTGAATGTATGCTGTTTAAAAACCTCGCGATTGCTGAACAAGAAAACGACGCATTCATATTCCAATGCTGAGGTTAATGGAAAGTCGATCCTGGGAACTAATACCAATGGGTTTGTGCATCAGCAATTCAGAGGTATGTAGTAGAACAACTTATGGGACCGGAAATCTAATTCGCACTTGGCAGGCCTACCGTATGTGAATCATCTTTACGATACCCAATGCCATCGAGCGCATGTCACATTCCCTACGCCGAACACTTTACTCTCCATTCTTTATTATTCATTTCTAACACGTTTGACATTCTTTAGGAAAGTCGCATATCGTGCCATTTGGGTGCGATAAACGAGGTGCAGAAGAAGACGGTTATTTGCGTCTTTGCGGTGCATGTCAGGTACGTTTCCATAAATACAAGGACGAGAGTTGTAAGGGCTGATACACATGCTGAAAAAACGATAGAACCAGCTTGTTGTTTCTCAACGAGCAAAATTTCATTCATTTCAAGTGTCCTGAATACTTCGCGACTCATTAAACTAGTCCAACCAACATCAGCTCACAGGCTCATTTCAATGCTTTTTCGCCAACTCGATTGTTGGAGAATTTTAGTATGTTTGGATTGCTAACTAGCCGAGACGGATGTAAATTAGTATTGCCCTTTTCTTTTTCTTAACTACTTTAACATTAGTGTCGAAAAATCCTTTCGTCTGTTTTTTTATTTTCCTATTTCCTTGACTATAGCTTGCTCACGGGGCCGACCAACTCCTTCATTCCTTGCTGGTTTCCCGCAACCCATTACATTTTCCAAATATGGAGTCAACCACCTCTACCATGATATTGGGGTTCTCTACATTGCACTTCCATAAGCGACTGACCGGCGCCAAACACTTTACCCTTTTATTTTTCAATCTTACGCACTAAATTTTCAATTTGCTGCTTAACCACATTGTCATCAATTTCCGGTTTTGAATTGTGCTAAGTGTTACTTTAATAATCGGCAGTTATTATGAAAGTCTTTCAAACCTCACCTTCAGGCTATACGACATCTACCGGACACCTTTTTTCCTCCATTCATCAACGAAGTTACATGTGATAACGATAAAGCTTGCCTATACTTCTATGATTATCGTATGTTTAAAGAAAAACGTATTTTCTTCTCATCTAATTAACCCTTTCAACGCAGATTTTCCAATTTTTTTTATTTTGAATGCCAAAGAAGATTATTGGAGTGCCGAAAGAGCAGTGATTGAAGATGTCGTTCAATAATAGAAGCACAGTAGATGGTATGACATTACTGTGGACCAATCGAGCCTTCCGTCCCTCTGAGAACGGCAGATTGGTGATAGGCTTCGGTGGGTAAAGCTCCCGCCGGCTCTCAGTGAATGACGACTGCCTGTAGTAAGGCTTGGGAGTCCCTTAGATGAATTTGCCAAGGATTCCAAGAAGAATCAGGTTCTTTAGCTTTCAACGGTATCTATGAGGAAAACATCGTCCTCATGGAGCAGCCGAAGTCCGGAAATCTGGAGTGACAGATGCGAGACAACGAGTTGAATGAAAGAAGGGCTGCGATTAACATGTTATATGGAAGCGAGTCATACAAATAGGACGAAAAAATTTTATACAATACTATTTTTCGGAGATTATACCACATTTGCTCGTTTTCTAATAGGGAGTGCCTTTCACTAAAACCGGAATTAGGTTACTAACCCTGAGCTGTTTTGAGAAAAACAAACTCAAATACCTTCAGGCTACCAAATCACTCAAATCGTGACGTGTTGAAAAAATGCTCGTTTATATTTTGTATGATGGTAGTTTGCTGAAAATGAAAAATTGCCTATGCCAGGGATAGAGTAACATACATTCTACAATGAGTTGGTAAGATATCCATTGAAATAGAGTGTGTTATGAATAAAGGAGAAATTTCAAATGTTTTGAGCTGTACACCACTTTTCATTTTTGTTATTTTATATTATATCGAGGTGCGCGAAACAATGATTAGAGGTGCCCTGCGATACACACAATTCTGGATTCTGGTTTGATCCCCCGTCCCGAGCTCAGAAAGTCTTTCATTACTCTCAGGTGGAGAAATCCGTAACAGACTTCACTAGGAGGACAAAACCACCGACATTGCATAAACAATATGCATTAAATCACCTCTATGATGCTTGATGAAGTCGACCTCCTTGGGTGAGGAATCCTTAATCACTTACTCGCGAGATTACAACTGGAATCCTCGAATTCCGGTGGACATGGGGTGAAAAAGCGGCGATATACTCGTTATTTGATAAGACAGTATGGATTTCTTGTCTGCGTTGTACTGAATTGAGCTGTATAGGTGCTATAGGTGGCGCAAATGCTTTCGTATTGTTGTATAATTACTTGAGAATTCTACTTTAAAGCTCATTTATAGTTTTCGCTTGAATTCAAAGAAGTTCTTTGAGAGGAACAAATCAGATTACAGCTCATGGCAAATGTAGGCAGAAGCATATGAATTTTGTGGTGCTACGGAATGTTGGGACGAAAGACTGTCAAATTTGGAAGAAGTTTAATCTTAATGTCAGAGTGTCTTGCGAATGTTTTGTTGGTGAGTGTTTGATTAGTTGGAACTTCTTTTTAAAAGCTTTGAGACTTTTGGCAGTTGTTTTCACTTCAGCTTTTATCTGCTGATGAGACGTATTTCAGATGAGATGTCGTTTTTTGCGAAGTATGTATGAATGCAGTGTATTTGTCAGTTCGTTTGGATCACTTGATATCTAGTCTTCACGATGATTTCAATTCACTAGCCATTATTTGCAAACTTCTAACAGCGACTCTAGTGTGGTTGTTCGTTATTGTGCCCATATCGTAGACTGAAAAGCATATTGTTATCGTTCGTGTAGATCGCTTGGTTCCAAACTCAGTTCACATTTCTACCGGTCCATGTTATCTCAGCTTCAGATTCAGTAAAGCTTTCCATATCTGTGCAGCATTGAATATTTTATTTTATTCTATATCTGAGTGCTAATAAAGACTTTAGACTATAACGTCACCATAATAGATGTATTGCTTTGCATAAGGTGAGATTCCAGAAAGCCGGTAGTGTTAAAGCCCTTCACTACTGCTACTGCGTGATAGACAACGAATTCTAAAGGTTATTTTAAATTTTATCATACAGAATACATTAAAAAAAATTTCGAAACTATTTTACCTCGCACTCGTGGATTCATTAGAACTATGAATGCCATGTGTTTGTGGAGACGATGTGACTCCAGATCGGCTGATTTCGTGAGCAGAACAATTGCGTTCAATTGAAGTGAAGTCAAATCGAGGACGACGCTGAATGCGATTCGATGCGATTTTACTCCTATTTTAAGAACAGAAAGTTCATAAACTTTGAAAGAAAGCGAGAAATCTTGCACAGTTAGATACTTGGATGCCCCATCCTCACTGCTTGTGTGGGCCCCAGCATAATCTCCATTTTTCGAAGATTTGCTGGCTAAGCCATTGTGGTTCGTTGAAATCTAGAAGACAGCCTGGCCAAAGTCTGCTCCAGGTCGTCACCACCACAGGCAGTCGAAGCCCTTGTGGATCAGAGGGAGATTTGCAACCATGCGACTAATTTGATACCACGACGGTGATGGATTCTGGTATTGATTTACTCTTAGCCAGGCTTCCTAATTTAAACGCGAAACTTCTTCTCCACTTGAGGGACCTTGCTGTGGGGTTGAATCCTCCGCTGCGCATCGCAGCCCGGCACCCCTGAACGCCTCCCAGCGACGATGAGGCGATAAAACGTTAGGGGGAAACGAGAAATCACGAAAAATGGTTCCAATTTTGAGCTCTAACGTTTGCTTACGTGAACATTAACTCATTACAGACACATAATCTGGTAATAAGTTAAAGGATAAAACGGATAAAGGACTCAGCGTTGATGAAGCTCTTAGGAAGACTTCATTCATTCAACTCCAATAAACATGGCAGAGGTATTAAAGGCACCATGCTTATGCAATGGTTTTTAGAAGCCCAACTGTGTGTCATACCATGTTTTTGTTGCCCCAGAGAAGGCAGGTACCAATTTGCCAACCGTGTAGGGATGGAAGACTCGGTTAACCAGGGGCGCGTAGTCGAACCAACAACCACGTGTGTGTTGCAGTGAACTCTAGCCACTACGCAAAGTTATTACATTAAGTATTGGTGTAATGTTTACTTATTTATTTTTTTCACTAATGAACTTGTTTCACCTCTGCTAACGATGAGACGCCGTGCAATTCACTGAATACCGCTTGTGGATCGAGTGATATTGTCATTGTACCTTGTGATGTAGACAAAGTGGCAGTAGTCTTTCCATCAAATCTTGACGGCAACATCTATTAATATAAAAAACAGATGAATTGACTAGCAAGTAATGAAGTAGAAAAAAAGAAACATTCAATGGAATGAGTTCTTTTTAAGTACTTAGAACAATCTGTTGCATTTTCAATGGGTCTTTTGTAGATATTCAAATGATATAAGGCTACCCTTGAGAGGTTTAGTTGTTTTCTTGCGTACTAATCCAGCTTAGTAAACGGAAGAAGTTGTCTATGTCACATAAAAGGTTTCTGTCATCGAATTGGTCGTGATTTTAAGCTTCTTTTACAAGACGAATTTGGACTTGAAAGAACTTAGCCTTATGTAACGACTTAACAAGTCTTCTTCAAATTCGTTTATCGTTCTTACTTCATCTGTTTGAAATTCTGTTAAGTCGTCGTCGCTTCCACTATTGTGACCAACGAGTACATCGTGGGACATTCGCTTTCGCAGCGCTTCTGTAACGACAGTATCAAAAACGATTGCACAGCCACCTGTTTCCTATTTTAGTAACAAGCAGATCGGTCACCTTATATCGAGCTTAGAAATTTGACAACTGTTTCTGATTACTCGATGAAATACTCCACTTCAATGAATACCTTAGTCAGGGGATGTGACGTTCTTCGAAAACTTCAGCGTATGGATCGAAACTACTACTTTGCTCCAAAAAAAGACATCTTCGGACCGCTTCCTTGATAAGGCAAATAAATGGCGAGAGGAAAAACCTGTGTATTCTTTTATTGAACTCGTCCAGAAATGTGTCAGCTCCTAACAAGTTGTTGTTGAAAAAAAAACTACTGCTACTTTCTTGGAATTCCAGTAAAAAAAAAGTACAGTGCGAAAAAATAAGGGTACATCTTAGTTAACATGCCATGTACAAAACGTGTGGGGCCTGAAGAGCAGTGGTTAGATGTGCTCTGCAATAAATACATGGTTCTCTCCCACATCTCTATTCCAGGGCTAAAAAAGCCTTCCGTCACCATGGAGTCGACAAACTGGTACCAAACTAGTCTGTGGTGATTAAAACATTGCCCAATCACATCGGAAGCCTACCCAATTGTATATTCCAAATGTGCGTTCAGCTATCTCAGCGAGGTTTAATAGAGTTAACCCAAGAAATTTATTCTCACCCAATACTTAGGATTTTCTTCTTCATTAAGAATAAAGAACAAAATTGTTGGCTTTGATTATTGTTGGTAAGATAGGACTTCTAATTGGATAAGTGTTCCCATTTGCTTTGACTGTTTAGAAATTAAAGGACATTGCCCTGCTGTAATCATCTCGACACTCAGGCCAAAAAAGCAGACTTATTTGGACGATCTTAACCTTTCCACATAAAATGCAAATAAAATCCCTGCCTTCGAAAACACGTTACACAAACAAGTACGTTCGATGTTGAGTGTATGGTCGACATGAAACCGAAAGCGATAACGGACCATACATATTTCGAAATCGACTTTCCCTCAACCTCGGTGTGACTAATCAATATGCATTCTTTCTTGGTAAGCTTGCACGAGGTTGATAAATATATTTATTTTCGGCTAACGTTTCGACGTCTTCGTCTTCCTCGGTGCCGATGATCCGAGTCGATGGTCCATGATTGTTGTTCGTCTCGACGTTGCAGCTTCGCCTTCGTGTCGAGCCAGGTCTTCCTCAGTGATCCATCTTCTCGAATGAGGCATCCTCACTCAGTGATGCCCTTTTATACACGATGCTGATGGTGGATATATAATGATAATGTCCGGTGGTAACAACTTGTATTTCTTCCGGACATACATCACTGCGGACATCGTGCAGAAGTCGGTGTTTTATCAGCTGGCACAAAGCGTAGTAATATTTCGAAATATCAGTATCAATATCAGTGCTAGCTGATGAAACACCGACTTCTGCACGACGTCCGCAATGATGTATGTCCGGAAGAAATACAAGTTGTTACCACCGGACATTATCATTATATATCCACCATCAGCATCGT